AGTTGCCTGGTACAACTGTGTCAACACTAGGTTTGTGCCTATCTAGCAAAAAACTGCATCCCACCTAACTTGTCAAAACTGCCAGACAACAAGATTCATAAAAGTACCTGGGTCGGGCTGCCAGGGATCTTTGGATTTGGTACTTTTTCTGTTCTAGACATCTTTGCCAAACCAGTTTCTGTAGGCTCACCTTTTGTGTTGAGACTGTTAATATGTATTATTGCAATATGTCTTCTTGCACATCAGTAGTGCTCAAAGCTCCAGCTAGAACTTCTGAGGAGCCAAAGGGTCAAGGTGAATTTGCAGAACTGTGTGGTGATGCTCTGGGCTGTTGCATGATTGGCCTGTGATTTCCATAGGTAAAGGGAAGGAGGAGGAACATGCTTTTAGTTTTCATGCTGTGATTAAGTTAGTCTGGTTTAAATGGGAGCATAGGACTAAGCAGAAGCTGGTGTCAGTCATTCTCATTGCCTGTAGTTGGTCGATTTCTACATTAGCTGGGAGGGAATATTGGGTGACTTGTCATAAGATAGTTGACATCTTATAGCTCATGGATATATCCTTAGAGTATTTTATTTAACACGTAGCTGGGTTGCCTTGAAGGGAAACTCTTGAAAGCTGTGATGAAGCTTGGTTAAGTCATTGAGATCCGTCTGCAGTGAAGTGAAAAATTGTAGAAATATGGGCAAATATTTAGTAACTATGTGTTGAAAGTCTCATTAGCTGATAACAAATTGTTCCATTGAATTTTATCAGTTCCGTGGATTTGCTTGTTTCTTTTCACGCTTAGGCTGACTGGAGAAGTGTGGGTGTTTGAAAGATCCCTTCACAACTCGATTATGATCTAGTACTGGGAAGCAATGAAAATTTCCTTAGCAATCTCAGAGTTAGCGGAAGAAGTACTGGATGGACCAAGCAGCAAGTAGTGGATGGAAGGGTTTTGACTTGAAAAAGTTACAGAACAATGGGAGGACTTGGTCTCTTTGACTGTTTCAACAGTTTTTTTTTTTTTTTTTTAATACAAAGGGAATAATTATGCGCTGAGATATCCGTCAGTGGGGCAGGATTCCTGAGCTTGTCGGGATGTTACCAGGTAACCAGGCAATTGTTATGATGCTCCTGGCCACCTCTGCCCGCACCAGGAGAGCTGGGTTCAACACAGCCAATGTGGCCACTAACAAAGCTGAGAGTTCAGTGAGAGGTAAAAATGCCTAATGATTAATTACCTGCCCTTTGACAGGAAGGGGGGAGCTCTCCCGAGATGCCCACGTATTAGAATTTACTCAGGTCTCTCAAGTAAATCTAGTTCATTCTGGCTCCTGAATGGGAGATATGTAAGGATTCATGCATGTGCTGATAAAAAAAATAGTAAGAAATATTTTCCTTCTGTGCTGGTAATAATCAAATGACTTTTTGGCAGGTGTTAGAAGGCAGTTGGAAATGTTTTCAGTAAATCAAATTTAGGGTCTTGGTCTTTTTCATAAAGCAATATGTGAATTTCTGACCATGCTAAATTTCATATATTTGAACATGTTAGTTGATTTAATTGAACGTGTTGTTGATCAACTAATATATTTAATTAAATACAGTGCTTTTCAAATATAAACTATTGAGTGATTTTGTGCAACTGTCAAAATAAGTTGATTTAAAACATCCAGAGTCCTCTCTTCCTGTAAGCCAGGTCAATCATGCTGGGAAGCTGCTTGCGAACCTTTTTTTTTTTAATCCAGAATATGAAAAGATTATTAGATGGGAGTGGACAGAGGCTTAAAGACCAAAGGGCACTGCTGCGAGATGTCAGCGGGTTGTGGCAGCGGTGAAGTGTCCTGTGTTGGGTTCCGGGTTGGTCTCCAGCGGCCGCTCTTGCCTGTGCCCAGGGTGCTGGACCCGGAGCTCCTGGTCAGCGTCAGCCTCCACCTCGAGCCTTTCCGCTCCTATTGCTGGCAAACTGCAGCAGGAAAAAGTGAGTCGGGGATTGTGCTTGTTGGGAAAGCCCAGGGAATGTCACCCCTTTTTCATTCCGTTTGGTGCCTCTGCACTGGTGAAGAGGTGGTGCCTTGTGGATAGGTCAGGCACCTTCAGCTGCAGCCACTGCACTTGACTCTCCCTTATATTAAAGTTGAGATCCCTCCCACACTCCCTGTTTTTTCTCTCTAAATAGTTTCTTCCGCTTTGGGTTGCAGCGACCAGTTCGCTTTCTTCAAAATAAATTGATTCAGCTTCCTTATCTCAAATCGTTTAGATGTCTAGAAGTATTTGTTATTTTGCATGTTATCTATGTGTTGCTCCTTAGGAGATTTCTGTATATCTTCTAAATTGCACAACTATAAAACCGTAGAAAAAGAAAGACATCAGATGCACCTAGTGTTGAAAAACAGTTAAACTAATTTAGCAGTGACAGTTATTTTAGAATCTTTAGCCTCAGAATGCTATGCTATCTAGCCACAATTTGCTTTTTAGAATGGTGTCTGTTTATCCACTGAAATATTAATGCTGGGTGGGGGAACAGCAGAAAAGCATGTCATAAAAATTATTTTAGCGTCTTTTAACTTTTAAATAGAGCTGTGATGGAGGTAAGTATTGAGTCTAGCTGAGATGGAGGACAGCGTGGAGTTAGCTGTCATCTTTTATAGAAAGAAACAGGAAAAACGTTGCTCTCGTGTGGAATGGCATGTGTTCCTTTTGACTGCTTATTGTGACAGTTCTCCGTGGCCTCCTACTAGGGGGTGTTTTGGGTTAGCCATAAATGTCATGGCCAGTGTAGTAAAATATTGATGCAGAGCGGCTCTGTGTAAACTTGCAAGCCAGCTATGTTGAACCCGAGTTTGTTCATCTGCATAAATTTTGTCTTTTAAGTGTTTGTGTCACAGTCTGAGTGCTGAAAAAGACCCCCGGAGAGCAAACCAAAGCTTTTCACGTGTTGCAAACATGCAAGTGCTGCTCTGCTAGTCTTGCATGGGAAGGTGCTTCCCTACATTTTGCTGTTGCTGTGCATTATTTTTGGTTCAGAACTTTCTGAAATGTCCTGAAAGGGCTGCTACAACTCTGTCATTGCTAATTCTTATTCCCAGCTCACTTCCAAATTTACTAGACTTTTTTTGCTCCTTTTTCCTAAATTTTAATTTTGTGCTTTTTTTTTTTTTCCACCTCCTCCCTAATTACGTGCTAAAATGTAACCTCCTTTTTATCACAGGTTCTTTAGTTCATGGTAGTATTTTCTATGACTTGCTGTCATAGAAACTGAGGCCTTAGAGGGCCTCAGGAGCTCGTGTAATCCGTTCTACTACTTCAAGGGAAAAACAACTCTTGACCATCCTCGACAGACGTTTGTCTCATCTTCTTTAAGAACCTCCAGCGATGCTGGTTCCATGACCCCTCAAGGTGACCAGTTTAGTGCCTCACTAATTTAACATTTTCAGAGATTCATCCTCCTTTTCCCTTCTTGCAGTTTAAGCAAGATCCTTTCCTCAAAATCTTACTGCAAGAGCCAAGACTGTTGCCAGTTCTAGTGCTTTTCTACTCGCATCTCTCTGGTCTGTGCTTTTAGTTTCAGTATCTGTTCTGACCTTCATCTCTTGACCACTAGGTCATTTGCAAATCTGCTAATCTGGTGATGTGGTCTGTACATGTAGTGTTGCCTCTCTAGATCTGCTGAAATCAGAGGCTGTGGCTTCACCCTTGCTGTGTTACAGTTGCAATCTCTGTTCTCACTTTGTCCTCAGCCTCTGCTATCAGGAGCGTATGAAGAGCTTGCTCATGTGGAAAGAAACCAAACTATGCTGCTCTTATCCTTATCTCTGCTTAACACATAGGCTCCCTCTCATTTCAGCATCCCATATAGCGATACTGCTCAGGCATTTAATCTTCTCTTGGGCTGGTTTGAGGCAATACCTCAAGTTGTCTGTCTCCCTATCTTGTTTTTCCCCTTTTGAATTAGGAGGATCTCTCCTCTTGGTGATTTGTCTGTTATTGTATGTGAAAGTTGTTCTCAGCTTGTGACTGGGTAGGGTAGCAGAATTCTCTTACTGAGACATATTTTTAAAGATTTCTGCTAAAATACTTTTTATTCCCACTGCCACAGTTTTAACTCTATGAAGCAATTAGGGATTAAGTTTGTGAAAGATTCCATACAGAGAAGATTTTGCCTTGTAACTTGGCTAGCCCCGTAGCAAATAAGCTGGCATTGTACATTTTCTGACTTGCAGGTACAAGCTTGGACCCGGGGAACATAGCCAGGAGGGGCTGGAAGGCAAAGCTGTGATGACATGTTCAGTATCCAGGTGGAGGGCCAAGAGGGCAGCTGCGTTGCGTTGCATTCCAATGTGCTGATCCGTGGAACAGCATTGGCATAAACTTTGGAAGCTGCTGCTTGCTCTCCTGGCTGTAGGGAAGGGTCTGAGGTGATGGCAGGGAAGAAAGGGGTGAGTCTTTTCAGAATATTTTGTTTGATCGTGGCTTATTTTGAGCAGGCTGGACGCTTGCAAGCCTGGCTGTTCTTTGCAGTTCACTCTAAGGAGCTCCATTGGTTCTGCCTCTGGTAGCTCTGAAGTTAACTAGTCCAGAGCTGTGGGGTTTGATTTCTGCCCTCTCCCTGCCCTACCCCTAAAATAGCTAAGTTGCCTGTGACTTGCATTTAAAACTCTATTTTCTCACTGTTTGGGGGCTTAACGAGGTGGAGGGTAGGGGGTTGGAAACAGCTTAACAACTTCATTTTATACGCTAATGAATTTCCCAGCATTTTGGCAAGATTGTATCCAACTTTAATATAGTAATTTCCAGAGTTTTGTTTATGCTAAAGTTAGCTAATGGTGGGATTAAGAGGCATGAAGAGCCAACAGATTGCAGATGAACTAATGAAGATGTTGTTTCCTTTGGGTAAAGAGCATGACACAATTGTGACTTATACCGAAATGCTGCAGACTGAGCGTCACCACGGCCACAAGCTGGCAGTGGGGTTTCTCCTTCTTCCCCTGTTATTTCAAACCTGTGTTTGATTTCAGGTGCAGAAAAAAGAGGGTTTGCAAGGACCAGAAACAACTCTGAATCCAGCAGAGCTCCCCAGCACTTCGAGAGGAAGAGGCAACTCTCTGAATCGCAGACAGAAACAATGAACCATTCAGACAGCAGAATAAATCCTAGACAACTGGGAACTCCCAGAGGTATTAAAGCAGAGTGCGTACACGCTTCAGGAATAAGCTGCCTTGAAGCATGTGCTCAGTGCTATTAAAAGATGGGCTGGGATGAATGGTCTTAACTCTAAAGTGAGCTGTAAAAGATTGTTAGTTTTTTGTAAAATATGACCATTACAGGCATGTTGTATTCTGAAGTTGGGAGCCAATATTTCTAGGCAAACTGTTCTCAAAAGTTCAGCTTTGAATACAAAACTTCTGTACAACTGCTGTTAAAATACACAGGCAAGTTTGGCTGGCAAGGTAACTCTTTTGAGTTTCTGTTTGCAGGAGGATCCTATGGTGGTACCCTAACACCAGATGATAGGAAGAGTCGAAATAAACCCACTCGAGGGCGGAAGAAGAGTATATTTGCATGTCAAAGAATGGATGTGCCTGTTGGAGATGCTGGAGGAGGATTCTTCCTTTTTTTTTCTCCAGGAGATTCTAGAAGTGGAATGAACACTTTCATGTTCAGCTCAAGTCTAGATTTTAGTTTGGCTGCATGTTGGGAGAAATTCCTGATCCAAGGATGTGACGCATTGTAAAGTTCTCATTGGATGATAAGGATGAAGTCATTACTGTACAGTGATGCTCTAAAACATAAGGAGGACTGGGAGAACTCACCTGAAATATAGTAAATAAGCATTCCCTGTCTCTGTAAGAGTAAGCAAAAATGACAGAAGAGTAAGTAAAAATGACAGCCTGGAGAAGTTGGCTAGTCCTCAGCAGGGAGGTGCAGATGCTTCCCCTTTTCTCTGTGTCAGGTTTTTTATCAGCTCTTTTCGGAAGTCTCCCTCCCACAAGAAAAGGGAGAGTGATGGTGCAGGTAACGCTGCAGTCCCTGGAGTCTGATAGAGCTCTGCCTAACAGGGCATTGCAGTAGTGTTTTGAACTGCAGCAGAACTGGTTAAAATAACATGAAAGTGCCAGTCAGTCATGCCAGATCCTTGATTTACTTGTGTAATGTTATTTTTACACTTCTGTAAAATGATATGTCATGTCAGACTATTGCTGTTACCTGAGAGTTCCATGGAAATATGAAGTCCCAGAGGACCTGTGAGTGCATACTATTCCAGCAAGAGAAGCCCTAATTCTTGTAAATGACTAGTATCTCCTTCAGGTCATGTGCTCTGCAACAGGAAGAGTCATGTGCTTTCTTAGTTCACCCAGTTCCACGTTTCAGGGAAAGCTGAGTCTGTAGATGCTGCATTTGATCATTTACACTGAGCTGGGATGCTCATGACCGGTATCTCATTCTGAACTCATTCATCCTCATGATCTCATCAGGATTGCTTGTCATTGCAGATTTGAGCAGGATAGGTGAGATCCTGACAACAGTTTCAGTGGATGGACAGATATTGAGGGCAGCTCTTTGTGACGGGGGCAATAGTGAACAAAGACCTGTTGTGTTAATCCCAAAGAGCATTGAAACAGTCTGGCATAGTGACCTGCAAAAATGCACTGCAAGAAGCTATGGAAGAGACAAATTTCCTGGTCTGAATCTCATGGTCCCAAACAAGCTCCAGGCTAGGCAGTCAGAATCATGACCCCCTGAGCAGGGCAGTCCCCTGGAGTATCTTGGAAACACTACATCTGCATATGTCTGAATGAGAACAGGGTTTCTTATAGGAGAGGGGAAAACCCTCCTGTAGCTCTGAGGCTGCCATGGGCCCTAGCAGTGGAGTTACGTAACTAACTGCTGTAAGCTCGAACCAGGGAATCTCCTGGCAAACATGGGAGATTTCCGAGATAAAACATGAGTGTCATGAAAATTAAGCAGTCCTAATCAGGAGGAACAAACGGTTTATCTTTACAGTTGCTGAAGTCTGTCAATAGTAGTCGTGGTGACATCGGGCTCTGTGTTTGACATAACCCAGTATTCAGTAAGTAGCATGGAGCAGGGTGCCCATAAGGATTCCTGCATCCACTTAATCGTGGGGCATGTGCAGGAGTGTCTTTCCACAGGAATGGTATTTTTGCGCAGGTGCTTAAGAATGCAGAGGCTGCTTCCCACCCCGTAAAACTGCGCAGTGAGCAAACCCAGCAGGCATCTGGTTGCCTGGAATGATACAGGCCGGTCTGAAGGCAAACAAGATTAAACAACTTCTGCGCAGTTACGTAACTGCCCGATGTTGGCTCTACGCTACGGATGAAGTCAGGTTATGTAGTGAGGAGCATTGACCCAAAGGACAGGAATCATCTTGCGAAGCGGCAGCCAGAAACCCCTGTCTGCCGCCTCCAGTGTCTCCCAGCCCTCCCTGCTGGGACGCCAGGGTCAGGCGGAATGAGGATCCGGAACGTACTGGATGCTGGGCCACCTCTGCCGTAAGCTGATGTGATGCTTTGGAAAGCCGCTCGTGGGTACGGTGGCTGGGGTTTCCCTGATCCCATGGGTTGCTTTTCTACAAAGGTGGCCTTGGCAGAGTGGGTAGATGCTTGAGCTTGGACTTCTCCAGTGTTTCACACACAAGCCAATCAAGGCATGCATGTTATGGGGGTTGATGTGAACTGCGTGATTTGAGATGCTTCATGTTTATTCTGAGTCCTTCCTGCTCTGGTTCTTGCAGAGCAGCTTGAGAAATCATGACCTTTTTGTGTTTTGCTGGAGGAGCTTAATAAGGTTAGAAACTTTTTCTGGCAACTGTCTTTGAAGCTGACCTGAATCATTAGAAAATGTTTTAGAGACTTTCCTGCAGACCTTTCTCTTCCTTTCAAAACACAGGCCCTACTGACACAAAAACACTGATAAATATAGCAGCTATTGTTTGCAAGCTATTGTAAAATAATACAGCATTAGTGTGACATCATGAGACTCTGCAGCCAGAGCCTCAGCCCCTAATACACATATGAGAACAGTTGTTCGTTGCAGATGGGGAGAGTGACTGGTTCCAGATATGATATCACAGCGTGAAATGTACAACATTGTAAATACGATTTTCATAGGCACAGATAATAGGGCCCATCTGCTTTCTAAGATAAACTTTGGGAGTTCCTTGCTTAAAGGAAAGAGCTAAAATATTTTAATGTTCCTTGATGTAAGAATTCTACTGCTGGTCATAATTAGATGGGACATGTGAAATGCAGAGGTACCCAGTGTGCGGGAAGCGCAGGAAGACTCTGCTCCGTTGTGGATTTGCTTGAGCTGGGTGCCCGTGTGTACACAGCCACTTGGTGCCTTATGGGCCAAGGAGGCAAAACCTGATTTTTCATGCACATATTGGGCATTTGCACCTGGCTGATTGACAGCTGTCCCAAAGGAGCCAAGGGGGGTTCTCCAGAATAACACAAGATATCCCCTCATCTGCTTTGTGTTGCTGGATAGATTCTGGATATGGGAATTATTTCACTCATTTTTTCAAGCAAAGCAGCCATCCCTTTTCGTTTATTTCCTCCCTTGAGTCTCTCCATAGCAGCATCATTTCCTGCTG